ACTGTCACCATCCCCTCTCTTCACCTTCCTGTCCTGCTCCCAGATGCCACTCCCTGCCTGCCTGCAGCCCTATCCCATCTGCCCAGCTCTGCATGCCCTACCCCCAGGGTTCCCAGGCCAGTCTTCATGGAGACCCCACCTTCCCACCCCACCGACTCTGTCTGGCATCCCCATCAGTGACTGCGGAGTAGCAGGGCAGAGTGATCTGTCACCAGACTGGGGTGCCAGGAAGCCCAGTCCATCTGCTGTGCTGCCCACACCCTGCTACGTACCTGGGAGCGGCAGAGACTGGCCACACATCACAACCCAGGCTGCCTCCCACGTCTGGGCTGGACAGTGCCAAGGGACCAACTGTGGACCGGGTAAAATCCCTTGGTGGGGCAGATCTGCCCCTCAGACGGTGTTTTGCTCACCTCTGATCCAAGCTAAAGATCAGGTCTGGGATGTGATCAAATTTATGGATTGGACCAGAGATAACCTATGGAAGTTTTAGGGAGGCAAATGAGAAGATGAGTGCTGGGGCTTTTATCTTTCCTGTCCATTCAACATGTAAAAAGTGTGTATGTGGTAGATGTCTATGCTTGAGGATCAGGGTGTGTCTGTTAACATCTACCTGAACAACGCTGTTTATAGGACTGGAACATTAAATAAAAAGATAAGAACATGAAAAACAAGTGAACAGTGTGGTTAAACTACTGTTACCAGAATAATTATAAAAACTTGTTGGGGAGAGGAGTAGTGTATATGTATCTATGTATAATATAAGCTTATAAAAATGTTCCATAAGTATCCAGGGCATACAGTATGCCCAAATTAGACTTTTCACTATGTCATTTGTAGTTTCCTAGATTTCAAGCGTTACATTTATAACTAGCATTTTTGTGAATTGGTCCTAAAATTGTAATTCCAACTGATTTGTGCTATATTAGTGTGTGCTTTTTTGTCACTCCCTTAAAGTGGAAGTTATTTGATTATGATCCATTTTTGTTTGACTCTTTCTTTTTAGCTTTCCACTGGGAATCCGTTGTATGAGACATATTACAAACAAGTAAGTTTTTAATACTTTAATTTTTTTTAATTTAGTGTTTCTCTTGCTTCCCATATTTCATTCCAGTTTCTCTTCCTCGGCTTTATGGTAACTGAATGCCAGTATTGCTCTAATATTGTCTGTCTAAGAAACTGGCAATTTGTACTGTTCATCTCTTGTTTTTTATAGTTAACTTACTTCAGTGAATTATTAATGTTTGTGTTGCAGGTAGATCCCACATACACAGGGAGAGTTGGGGCTAGTGAAGCAGCTCTATTTCTTAAAAAGTCAGGTCTCTCGGACATCATCCTTGGGAAAGTAAGTAAAGTGTGTGCGTGTGAGAGAGAGAGATGTGGGGGCATGTGCATACAGTGTGTTGTTGTTTTTATGCTCCATGATCCAAACTGATATTCGGTGGACTTTTTTTGAGAGAGAGGGGGAATAATACACTGTAGCTCCATGTTTTCAAACTGAAAGTTAGCTATAGATCTGTTTTACCACCCAGAACATCACTAAACCAAAGCTCTGTTTTGGTGGACATTTTGAAAGCCTCAAAACACCACAGCAAATAAAATGGTTGAGAATTGGGAAGGTGACAGGATAGTTAATGAGGAAGAAGGCCAAGAGAGTGCTTGAAAAGAGGCAACCTGGCATATAAGAGGACTTTTCTAAAAACATGAGTCAATGTGTTAGATGGCACTAAGACAGTATGACTGAAAAGAACATAGGTACCAACAGAACTAAAACAGAGATACCTAGAGCCTCGTAGACTAGTATAGTGATTCTCAACCAGGGTCCTGCAAGGTGCCATGCAATGTTAGCACTGCTAGGTGTGCAGACACATACATGTGATTCACAAAATAACTCAGAGATTTGAGACAGAAAAACTACAAGGATCAGTGTTAATTTCTTAGGGTTTTTTGCAACTTAAGAGTTGCTCTGTTGGTTTTCTATAGTCGAAAAATACATTAAAGCTATGAGCTGGTATTTTCCAAAGGGTGCCTTGAATCTAGTGAGGCTGAAAACCACTAGACTAGTAAAAGTAAAGTAAATCTGAAGGAAAGAGACGGGAAGCTGTCAGAGACAATATACAAAGCTGAGATTATGTATAGGGAGCAGCAGTAGAAGAAAATGTCTTGAGTAGCCATATTTGTACAGATCTAAAGATGGGAGAAGTGAGAATCGAGGATAAAAGATATTTACAGTAATCAGGATGAGAAATTATCAGGGTTTGGATAAAGGCCTTAATAGTGCATGGTGTCAGAAGAGAGTAGATTTTAAAGCTATTAAAGGTAGAAGTGCCAGAAAATAGTTGCAGTTCTTGTTGCCCTGTTGGAAGTTGTTATAGTACTATCACCACCATATTGTCTGAGCAACTAAATAGAAAGTAAGAAACCAGGCACCAGGACAGAAGAGTTAATGACTGACTGATTATTCAGTAAGGTGAATAAACTTAAAAACAGTTATTTAATAAAGTATTAGAACATTGCTTCCTCTCTCACTTGCCTGCAGATTCAGGATTACAGCATTTTGGAACGGTAATCCCCTGCAGAATAGGGAGTTCAGGAAAATGCTGGATCATAATTTTTTGTGTATTGCAGCATCATATCACAAACGAGAGAGAATCAGATTTTGTGTGGGTCAGAGCTTCTTGAAGGCATTGACTTCACCGAGGTTTGGATTAGACATTGTGTGAAGTTGAAGCAGATTTTAAATTAAAGAGCACTTTGTTTTTTAACTTACATTTTGTTAATGAAGTAAAAATTTAATCTTTGTAGTTCATATTTTGAAACTTCCAGCAGACAATTCAAGTATGAATGTTTGATATTTGAACTCCCCAACATAATGAATTTCAGTGGCTGATTTTTATTATCTGTTTTTTTTATAGATATGGGATTTGGCTGACCCAGAGGGTAAAGGATACTTGGATAAACAGGTATAAGAAATATCTAGCATAGATCGATCAGATGGCTCTAGAATTTGGGGCCTGATTCAGGAAATCGTTTTTATTCAGAATATCACTTTAAGCAAGTCCTGAAGCCCCTTTCAAGTTAAGTGTGTTCTTGCATATTTTATGGTATCAGGGATTTTTTTCCCAATATTTCTCAAAGCCAAATATATAGATATATATATACACATATATCTACCATTCAAAAGTAGTGTAATTAGAATGTTTTAATAAGAGTAAACTGGAGACGTTTCCATTGGTATGAGTTTATATAATTGAACTGGGGGGTCATCTTAAATTTACCTTGTCCGTGCCTCTGCAGCAGGGAAAGTAGAGGTTGAGGATCAGGCAGCAAGACCCCCACCCCTTGCTTCCCAGTCTCTTACCCCCTTAATCTGTGCCTGTGCCTGGCTGCCTGTCCCCCAGCTGCTTACCGTCTGCAGTGGCTTCAGCTCCAGGACAGTTAGCAGTGGCCTCAGGCTTGCACCGGCTCAGCCAGGTAGAAGCAGCAGTTGCAGCAGCAGCTCTGGGCTGGGCCAGGGCCAGAGTAGAAACTAAGTTGGGGGGGAGCAAGCAGCAGCAGGACAGGCTGTGCAGTCTCCCCCACACTCCCTCTTAGTCCCCCACCACATAATCTCCCCTGCTCTTCCCCTGCCATGTGCCCCTATCCCTGCAGCACAAGCCCCCCCACCCCATCCCAGCCAAGGCGATGGCTTGGCTCCAGTTTTGCCCCAGAGTCGGGGCTGCAGCAGCCACCTGCCCCAGCCAGTACTCAAATGCAAAATGAACCCCCCTGCCTGTTGATGGGAAGTGGAGGGTGGGAATCTCTTCTTGGATTTGAATAAATACATTAAACCAACAGGTTGGAATGAGAGTCTAATTAGTTGAACATCCCTGCTTCTGTGCTTTCACTTAGCCAAGTTACCTTTACCATTTTATAAAAAACAGTATATAGATGATTCTGTTTAAAAATAATGATTTAGCCTAGTTCCTTGCTTCAGTAGAATAGCCTGAGTTTCCTTGTCCATTGAATTTTTAGGGTTTCTTTGTTGCGTTGCGACTCGTAGCATGTGCACAGAATGGCCATGATGTTACCTTGAGCAATCTAACTTTGACTGTGCCACCTCCTCAATTTGTAAGTAACTTTTTAATTCAGAAATTAAACTTCAAAAAAGAAAAAGAAACCCAGAATAGTCTTTTCTACCTTAACAAACTGACTGCTAGTAGCTAGACACATTGTAAGTTCTTTGGGGCAGGGTCCTTCTTGGTTTGTGTGTATATAGAACTTAGCACCACAGGGTACTTGTCCATGCCTGAGTCTTGTAGCGGTGGGAGTAATACAAATTAATCTGACATTTTAATTTGTTTTTCTGTTTGCATAAAACATACAAGAGTGACCCCTGTCCTCCCACATGGTGGCAAAATGTATATGTGTACATATTTCATATGTATAGATACTTAAGAATTGGGCAATAAAAAGAAAGTGACGTGTGATAATGTTATGTTGTAGTCTTGTTCTGTTTTATTTTACTTTTAGCATGAAAGTGGTAGCCCCTTATTGATCACTCCTCCTTCAACAGAAAGTCTCTGGGCTGTTAGGGTAAGTATACAGGACAGTACATTTGCATCCAATCTTTGCATGTAAAAAGTGTTTTTTTTGTTAATGTGATTATTTTCTTTTTGGCAAAATTATATTTTAGACATTGGAAAACCTCTATTATAGAAGTCGACTTGGGCACATGGCACACACAATATTAGTTTGTACTTTATAGTTGTCATAGACTTCTGTCAACATCTGACATAATATTTTGTTAAGAGAGATTGTTAGTCAAGATTGTGTTCTCAGAGCCTTGTTTTGTTTAGCTTTTTTGCATGAACTGACAGATAGAATGGAACGCGTGCTCAGAAAACGTTTGGACTTAGAGCCACATTTAGATCAGTGAAGATCTTTACCAAATCCATCTCCATGTGTGGTCTATTTGAAACTTGAGTCCATCACTGCCTTGGCATAGTATTCTTTGCCTGTGTTCTGGTTTCATATAAAGAGTAGTTTGGAGTGTCATTTGTGAATTTTAAATTTTGATTATAAACTTAAAATGAAATTTCTTTTTCTGGATGATATATGATCAAATTATTTTAAAAGCATGTTTCCACATTGCATGGTATAGTCTAAAGTAGGGAACAATATTGCTGAAAATAACAGTTCTTAGTATAGTAGATGCTTTCTGAAAGTTGCATAGTTTAAAATCTGGGCACAGAGATGTTCAACACAATCATTTGTCTTTCTAGTCTGTGCAGAAACTTTTTATTGTATGTCGTGCATCAGTTTTGCTGCTATGATATGACCCCTTTTTGAAACTTCCAAAAACTTCTTCTCATACAGAGAGAATAATCTCCAAAAGTTATTGCCACGACTTTTAAAACTAAGTTCAATAGAGTGCTTAAGGTGTATAGCATGAACACTTGAAAGATAAAATGATAGATTACTGACCAGTCTCTGAGTTTTTGCAAGATCTCTTTTTTGACACTCACACAGGCACACTTTTTTACTTATTCAGGCTATTTCTTACCAACTAGGTGGAAGAAAAAGCAAAGTTTGATGGTATTTTTGAAAGCCTCTTGCCAGTAAATGGCTTACTTTCAGGAGACAAAGTAAAACCAGTACTGATGAACTCAAAGCTACCTCTAGATATCCTAGGAAGGGTAAGTATCCGATAAGTGTTACCTAGATCCTCCTTTAACTTTGGTTTTGTGAAATTAAAAACTTAATGTGATTGGTCATAATAGCAGCAGTTTAAATGTGGGCAGTATTTCAGATATACTCCTTTCTTTTTAAAGGTTGGCAAAAGTTAAGCTCTTCAAATCATTACTTAAGCAATTATGTAAGTGGTCCATTTTTAAAAATCTGTGTGTTAATTTGTATTTTCACTATTTTAAATTTGTTTCTGAACTCTTATATTGTGTCTAAATTACTACAGGTCTGGGATCTCAGTGATATTGATAAAGATGGACACCTGGACAAAGATGAATTTGCTGTGGTACGTCTTTGTTTCCAAAATAGCACTGGTGAGGCTTCCATTTTGGGCACAGAACTTCAGAAGAGAACTTGACAAATTGGAAGGAGGCCAGTGGAGAGCAACAAATATTTTTAGAGGCCTAGGAAATGTGACATACAGGAAAACTGTGGAAGAACTGGGATTATTCAGTCTGCAGAAGAGAAGACAGAGTGGGGATTTGATAATAGCCTTCAAATATATGAAGGATGGTTAGAAAGAGAATGGTTATGGAATACTCTTTGTGGATGCAGATACAAGAAGAGTTTCAAATTGCAAAAATGGAAATTTAATTGGACATTAGGAAGAACTTGTTCCCTATGAAGGTAGTTAAGCATTGAAACAGATGACCTAGAGAGATTGTGGACACTCCATCCTTAAGAGCCTTTAAGAGCAGGTTAGACAAATGTTTGTCTGAGGTGGTTCTGGCTGGATCATCCCTGCCTAAACCTTGAGCAGGGTGTTGTACAAAGTGATCTCCTCAGGTTTCATAGTCAGTAGGGTCGGAAGGGACCTGAGCAGATCATCAAGTCCGACCCCCTGCCATGGCAGGAAAGAGTACTGGGGTCAAACGGCCCCAGCAAGGTGATTGTCTAGCCTCATCTTAAAGACCCCCAAGGTAAGAGCCAGCACCACTTCTCTTGGAAGTTGGTTCCAGATCCTAGCCGCCCTGACAGTGAAGTAGCGCCTCCTGATATCTAGCCTGAATCTACCCTCTGCCAGCTTGTGACCGTTATTCCTGGTCACTCCTGGCAGTGCTCGGGGGAACGGGGACTCCCCCAATGCCTGCTGGTCCCCTCTGACTAGTTTGTACCAGGCCACTAGGTCCTGTCCAGCCCAATTTTTTTCTATTAAATTTACAGAAAGTTTGACCATGTAAATGTGTACCATTGCTTCCTGAAATTGTTTGTTGTTATAATTACAGCTTCCTCTTTTCTGGCCTCCTGTTGCTCACATTGTCCTTACTGTGAGTTGTTCAAAATACAGCTATTAAAATGCTCTTCCTCCTTGAAAACCTCTGCTGACTGTTACTTACCAGTGCTTAAACCCTTACATTCCAGACCATCTATAGGTCTGTCCTGGCCTATATCTCTTTTCCGTCATGTTCTTTCTCTCTTGTGTAGATGTGCACTATTTGAAATTTTGTATGTGTTCCTCTCTATTAACATGTTTTATAGATGGATTTTGCCTTTACCCTTGCAGGCAATGCATTTGGTTTATAGAGCTCTTGAGAAGGAGCCAGTTCCCTCAGTATTACCCCCATCACTTATTCCACCTTCCAAAAGAAAGAAGGCACCTGCTTTTCCTGGTGCAGTTCCTGTTCTCCCTGCAAGCCCTCCACCTAAAGACAGCCTTCGTTCTACTCCATCACATGGCAGTGTAAACAGCCTAAATAGTACAGGGAGTTTGTCTCCCAAACACAGCATCAAACAAGCACAGGTACAAGTTTCATGTTTTGTTTTTAAATTTATTTGCAGGGAACTACAGAATAATTAAACTACTTCTTGCTGGATAATTTTTCTTCCTGATGTTTGTTGAAAAGCACTCAATGACAAAAGGGTGGCTAGAACAGAAAGTTGTAGGTTGTATTTGTCACAACACTCTGTTCAACATTAGCAATTTGGGCTTGTGCCAGAAAAATATTAATTCTGCTTCAGCCCTAGCACCAGAGGAGGAATGAATCTGCACCTGAGACTCCAAATATGGGTCTCTACCTTTGCATTGTGGAGCCCTGATACTGACAGTTCCTCTCAGCCTACCTATTCCATTTATACATAAGAAGCATGGCTTCTGACAGAATCAGTTTCTTCCTAAGATTGTCATATATGTTATAAGTCCTAAAACATTAATGAAGGGAAGAGAAATGTCTGTATGCTGGTGACAAACTTAATTGTACAAGATGCTGAGCACCTCCAGCTGCAGTGGGGTTGTATCTGGCATGGTTGAGCCCACGTGTACATTTGATCTTTGGCTAAATTAATAACATTTATTTTTACAGCCATCTTTGAATTGGGTGGTACCAATGTCTGACAAAATGCGATATGATGAAATCTTCTTAAAAACTGATATGGACATGGATGGTTATGTGAGTGGTCAAGAAGTGAAGGATATTTTTATGCACTCAGGACTTTCTCAGAATCTCTTGGCACACATATGGTAAGAATTCATCCTGAGTTCTGTCGTCTCTGCCATAGCCAGAATCTGAAACAAACAGTTCCCTTGCTGACGTTTACATCTATTATCTTTTGTATTTTTAGTGTTTTTTGCTGAAGGACAGAGAATATTTCTCCCTTTTTTTCCTCTACACAGATTAAGACCTTGCAAATTAGGCAGCATTAGAGTCCTGTGCCACTTTGAAAATACATGTCCCTCCGTATTTTGTCATTGTAATGATAGGCATATCTTGCAGTGGGTGCTTCTACTTTATACACCATTTCATTAAGGGTGAGAGGGTGGTGATGCTGACTTTAGGATTCCTGTCAATCAACTGGCTAAAGTGTGCGTGTGTGTGGAGGGGGGAATCCAAATATTGTTAGCTAAGTGTTTAAGAAAAGTTGTCCTATTTTTATAGAATTGTCCCAGTAGGGTAATGGATGTTAAGGCCAAGACAAACAAAAAGAAATCAGCCTATTTGTTTCTCAGATTCCATTGTAACAACAGTAGATGTTCAATTTATAAGACATTTTGACTTATAATAAGACTAAACATTTCCTAACAGGGCCTTGGCAGATACAAGACAGATGGGAAAGCTAAGCAAAGATCAGTTTGCCCTAGCCATGTATCTCATTCAACAGAAGGTCAGTAAAGGGATTGATCCTCCACAAGTGTTGTCCCCAGATATGATCCCTCCTACAGAGAGGAGTACTCCCATACAAGTAAGTAATTGTTTATTAATAGGCATATTGCTCTATTTTTATCTTTGTGTTCTGAAAGTAACTAGTTTGGAGAGTTTATTAATGTTCTAATTTATATCTTGTTAACACATCACAGTGTAAAATTTCAATTTAGAAGAATTGTTGCCTATCTTCTGCTGTTTAACCAAGATTCTGGAATATATATATATTTTTTTTAATTACATTAATTGGTTAGGAATTGAGAAATTCCTGTTGCATCATGTTTCTTCTGTTGACTCAGTTGTTTCAGAAATTAAACCAGTTTCAGAGACCGTATCTTTTGCTAGGAAACATTCCTGTTGGGCTGGGAGAGGATGAGAATCTTCAACCACGTTAAGTGGTGGTGATATGCTGCCCGTTCTAATTCTGTTTTAGAGAAATCCCTTTCAGCATCGGGAATTGATGGGTTAGGTCAGACCACTCTTTCTTTTTTCTGGGGGGGAGGCTGAGGGAGGTGGAGGCTAGGCAAATCCAGATGGCTAATGAAAATCTTGTCTGTTTCAGCCATATTTCCAAAGCTGAACTGTTCATTCACTGTTTTACCACAGCCTTTCTGATTATCCTTTCAACATTAAGTGCTTTTTGAAAATGTTACTGCTATTGGAGTCCCTTTTTCAACAGTGACTTTAGGCACTTAGTTGCTTGTTGTTTTTGAAAATAGAATTTAGGCCTGCAGTGGTTTTAGCCAAAGTCTGACACGTGCGATGGATCTCTCTTCTACAGATGGCCAATCCTACAGATAATAAGTGAAATGGAGAGGTTGACTCTAGAAGCAATATGGAGTAGAGAGACCTGTGCCAAGACAACAGGGCAACTTTAACCTTGCTTCATTCAGGGTTATTTAGTTAACTGATATTGCTACAGAAATGTGTAGCTACGGCAGTTGGATCGTAACAGCTAATGCACACTGCAAAGCAACAGCTCCCTTTTCCCTTTTAAAGTTGTTAAAAAGTATGTTTGTCCATCCCTAAAATTAATCTAATAAAAAGAACTCTGCAGTATGTTGTGTTAAAAAAGCATTTAAATATCACAGGTCTTCAGAATATCAAACCAATAATGAAAACTAAAGGTACCTACAGACATTTAGGGGCCACAGTCTAACTCATGGCAGTTTATGCAAAGCGCCATGAATTAGAGGGCTTACCCCCCTACCCAACAGATGTTCACGTATTGGGTCGGGGGGCTCAAGCTTATCTGCATTGACCCTGGCCAGCAGGAGAGCTCTGAGGTGGTTGCTCCCCAGCCCCTACCCTCTGTCACCAGCGGAGAGAGGGGGAGAGAAAGGGAGCAGCTGGCAGCTGGGCAGTGCCTGGCTGGAGCTGGAGGGAGGCTCAGGGTGGAACGGAGTCCCCTTGCCTTGTGGGGCCGACCCCTCACAACTACTCTGGCTGGGGTACTGGGGAGAGCCAAGATGAGCCCATGAGGTGGGGAGGCTCTGTTCCACCATGGCGCTCTTTCCCCCCGCCCGCTTTGCCCATGGCAAAGCTGAGCCGGCAGCTTCTGCTGCCGCTGTCAAGAGGCCCGGGGAAGGGAGCCTCCCTCCCTCGCAGGCCCCCCCAGATACCCCAGCTAGGGCATTGGGCGGAACTGGGCCAGGGCCACAGGTGAGGGATCCCTTTCACCATCCCTGTCCCCCTCCCTTCCCTGCTGACAGCCTTGGGGGCACAAGAGCACCAGTGCAGCCCTGCAAAGGCGCTAAAAATGAACCCTTGAGGGAACACAAGTTCCCTAAGGTGCTCTGTTCTATAGCACCTTCAGCTAATAGGTGATTTGATGAGGATTCATTTTTCACGTGATTGGCCATTTAAAAAGCACTCTGCAGCCATACATGTGTATTATGTCACGGCTGTAGCATGCTTTCAGGGGCCCGATCACACAAAAAATGCAACTTGTGTAAATGCCCTAAGAAGAATCAGTTTGTCATTCCCTCATAAACACTGTTACTTTTTTAGAGGGCTAGAAATATTTTACTCATGAACTTTAGTCATACATCCCAAGTCTCCTCAGTGACTTTATTAAAAGTTTGCATGCCACAGAGGTAAGGATAAAGCCTTCAGCCTGGCCCCTTCACTTCCATAATACTTCTTCCAGTTATGAATGCTTCTCACTGTAGGATATGAAAAATTCACTGTTTACAGCGGAACCCGAGGAAGAGCACTGTGTCCAAAAGCTAGTCTTTCTATTCCATCTATACAGTTTATCCAATAAAAAATATTAATGAAAAAAACTCCCTTGCTGTAGGAGATTCCTAAATGCTGCTTTAAAGGAAATAGGCATGTTGAAATCTGCATGTCTCATACTTAGAGCAAGGTATTGACTTGAAATACTTGAGATGAAAGAATAGGCCCAATTAAGTCATTGGGAGTTTTGCCATTTTCTTGGAGAGGGACAGGGCAGGATATGTTCCTTGAATTTTAATCCTGCCACAGCCATTGATTTATACTCTGAACACGTGGAGGTCCCTTATCTTCTCTGTGCCTCAGTTAACCATCTATTAAATATGGATTGATAATATGCTCCTACCTCAAGGAGAGCAAGCTCAGTACTATGGAGAGTGCTGTGATGTCCTGTTATGGAAGGTACAAAGTGAGATGTGGTTGTAACTCTGTCTCAAGTTTTTGTAAATAATGCATGCTGGTTGTTAATTTGCTTTGTAAGGGAATATTTTGGTTTTTTTCAGGATAGCTCAAGTTCTGTTGGGTCAGGAGAATTTACAGGAGTAAAAGAACTTGATGATATTAGTCAAGAGATAGCACAGCTACAAAGGTAAACTTAGTGAACCTTTAAAATATTCTGACCATTATTCTGAATCCCAGTAATGGAAAATCTTTCTTCCTAAGGAAAGCTCTGTACAAAATTACGTGTTGTGTAACATGGTTCTTGTTTCAAATCTTTATATATAGTTTTTTGAAATATCTTAAAGAAAAGAATCCTACATGAAATAATTAATTAAAATGTTGCATCTATTCCTGCCATATCATAGGAAATTAGGTATCTTGCAGACTTGTTATTAGTTACAATCGTCCTCTCTTCCCTCATCTGTTGTTAGTATATATTGGTCTTGTCACTATTGTCATTTACATACTGGTTGTGATGAAAGAGGCCATTTTGTGCCTGGCTACAAGTAATATCAAACTCTGTTGTCACTCTGATTGACTTTTGGTTTTAATGGACGTTCACTTCATACTGTTGAACCTGTCTTTTTTTATGATTACCAAATAAGGAGCTGTGCATTCATTATTGAGTATGGCACAGTGGGTTTTTTACTACTTCTCTCCCTTTCCCTCCATTGCGCTTGGAGTGTGTAGTTCATTTGGCAACGCATTTATGTGGTGTCATTTTATTTTTGGTTGTATTGTTTTGTTTTTTATTTAACAAGAAACTATTGGAAATGGGACCCTAGCACCTTTTATGTAGTTGAGTCCAGCTGTCTGTTTTATTTTTTTATAGCCTAAGTCAGTGATTCTCAACCAGGTTGCCATGAGATCCTTTCAAGGATTCCATGCAATGTTAGCATCGTTAGGTGTGCAAACACGATTCACAAGGTAACCACAGAGATTTCAAATAGGATTTCATAGTGTTAAAAACATTCTGACCTCCTTGGGGTCTTTCCAAGGTCTTTACAATGGAAGAATTGTTCTATTATTTTTCTGTAGTCAAAAAACAAGTGAAAACTAGGAGTTGGCATTTTCTGAGGGGGCCTTGAGTGTAAGAAGGTTGAAAACCAGTGGCCTGGTTGGTTTCTTCTGAAATCTGACTGATGTAACTAAAGCACATTTTGCATGATCTACAACTTTGCTGCTCACTTACATGAAAAAATGAATTTCTAAGCTTTAAAACAGTTTAGTACATGGCACAGGTATATTTATTTGTTTTGCTTACAACTGATTGTTACTTGACCATTAGTGATATATTGTTTTTTGAATGTAACAATTCCTAGGCAAGTGGTTCTCAACCTTTTTAGACTTAAGGCCCCCCTCTGAAAATGCTAGCTCCTAGCTTTCAATCACAAGACTGTTTGTTCTTCCCACAGAGAAAAATATTCACTAGAGCAGGATATTAGAGAAAAGGAGGAATCAATTAGACAGAAAACCTGTGAAGTTCAGGTAAAAACTTTGGATTTTCATTACTGATCTTTCTTTCAATGACACTTCAAAGTCTTCCTCCATCCCACTCTTCTTATGTATTTCTTTGGGCATATTTTTTCTCCCAATGGGGAAATTTATGTAATCTCATTTAATGTGTAGCAATGATTTTATTTTTCTATTTGCTATAGAGAATTTATTTTTTTTGCGGCCTAATGTAAAACACACATAGTATAGGCACAGCTGAAATCGTGTCTTTATTAATGCTTTGCTAATACCTTTATTTTAAAAGTATCCTAATATTCTAAAACACATGTTCTGAAAATTAATGTTTAAAATATTTGACGTGCAGGCTTTCTTGTCACTCCGTCCTCCTACTGCATGGGCATTGATTTGTTATAAAGGATTACAGTAGTACTGAAATGCTGGCATGTTATTTCCCCACCCCTCTTTCTTTAGGAAAAAACACTGATGCCTTTGGGTGGTGGGAAGTTTTGGATTTAACAACCATAGCAGTCTTCCTTTAAATTTAATCGTTTGTATCAGAACCTCAGTTAAATGTAACCCGTCCAAATCGTGGAATATTTCTCAGGAACTGCAAAATGATTTAGATAGAGAAACAAGTAATTTGCAAGAGTTAGAAGCTCAGAAACAAGATGCTCAAGACCGCCTGGATGAAATGGACCAGCAGAAAGCCAAACTGAAAGATATGCTAAATGACGTGAAACAGAAGTGCCAAGAAGAAACGCAAATGGTGAGTGTACATTCATTTTGGAGGAGGTCCAGCATATTGTCTCTATGGCAGAAAACTATTGGAGAGTCTATAAGAATTTCTTACACTGCTTACTCATTTTGAGCTTAATGGCCCGTACTGCACAAATATAAAAAGGTTTAAAGCAAGCATTCTGTTAACCTGAATAGCTTTCCTGACGGCCTTATATATTTATTCAATATAATGTATGAATATGGGTTGACACAGGCAGCAGCTGTGTGGTACATAAGCCCTGGCACTCGGTAAAGGGGAGTTGCAGCAGAGGTTAGGTTAGAACCTCTGCCGTCATGGAGCAGAGTGGGGGCAGTTGTCAGGTGTCATTGCCAAGAGCCAGGCTAACCCTTCCCTGGCCTGGCCGCCACCATCAAATTCAAGGCTTTGAATCCTTGCTCTCCATATGAAATAGCAGCGATTGAGGGGCCAGGGTGGGCCTAACCTGACTTTTGGTGGTGACCCCTTTCTCACACCATCATCCTGCCCTGCTCTGCTCCATGTGGCCAGAGACTGAACACTCCCACTTACATTCTGGCACCTTAACAAACTCTTATGAGATATGGCTGCACCCTGAATCAGGACAGCATCCTGGTTAAGAATCACTGGTTTAATGTAGTGGAATCTGAATTCATCATAAATGTTACATAACAATGCCATATTTGTTTTTGTGTCTATGCTAAAGTCGGTGCTGTATTGTAACTTTCAGATTGCATCACTGAAAATGCAGATTCAGTCTCAGGAGTCAGATTTAAAATCACAGGAAGATGATCTAAATAGAGCAAAAACAGAGTTGAATCGCCTCCAGCAAGAAGAAACACAGCTAGAGCAGAGCATCCAGGCAGGAAAAGTTCAACTTGAAACAATAATTAAATCTTTGAAGTCAACACAAGAAGAAATCAATCAGGTAGTTTCCATAGTCTTTTGTGCATGTCTTTTTAAAAAATAATAGCTTAGAAAAAAACAGATTGCACCTGTGAAGTGCACACAACAAGAGGAATAAGCTGATATATAATTATATGGATCTTGGACTGTTGCCTGCTAGTTAGATTCCCAGTTCATGTAAAATTTGAGTCTGGAAAATAACTAGGAATTTGCAGTAGCTACACTATCCTCATGCAAAGTGACTCCTACTTCTCTGGAGCCATGAAGAAACCAAACTGTATAGTTACTGCACTGTTTAGATTGTGAGCATGAAAACACTATTAGAAGAATAGCTAGTAGCATGTTCAACAGCTGTATGTCTAATCCTGTATGATGCTGAATTATTTTTCATCATTTAGGCAAGAAGTAAGCTTTCTCAACTTCAAGAGAGTCACCAAGAAGTCAATAAAAGTATTGAACAATATAACGAGGCTCTGAATGGGATTCACGGTGGAAGCATGACAAATTTAGCAGACATAAATGAAGGAATTGCGCAGAAAGAGAGAGGCAGTTTTGGAGCAATGGTAAAGATTGAATAAAATTCTTGAATTTAAGCTTCACAGTCAATAGATTTGTGACCTAAACTGAGAACATAAAAAGATGTTATTTGTCTTTGTGATCTTAATAGCCCCTTTGATCTTAGAAAGATGTCAGCCTCTAGTGCTATGCTTTGAAGACTAAATCTCTCTCCTAATAAAGGGGCTCCTGCCCAGAGTTAACACTTCTCCTTCTTAAGCGTTTTCAAGGGTTTCTTTTTGCCAAAAACAGTCTGAACGAGACAGAAAGGGAGAATTTTTTTCTGAATGATTATTAAGCTAGCATGTGAAATAACTTGCTGTACATAATGCATTAAATGCTAAACCTGCAATGTCATATTTACAGAGAGGTTTGCAAGCTGGGTTTGACTTGACATAGAGACCTCAGCTAAACACGACTGTAACATTTTATTTCTAGAGAACATCAATTCTTGGGATTTGCCAGTAGAATTATAAAGGGAAAAGTCATAGTTCTACAAATACACTCTCCTTCCCCTTCCTCCCTACCCTTTGTCAGCGTAGTTTGTACCAGTTCTTCAAATAAAACGAGCTGAGCCAACAGAAGGACTGTCTTGCTGAGATTTGCTGTATCTACACTAGATCTATGCTGAGTTTTTACACTCCTGACTGAGAGAGAGGCTGTGGGGGAAAAAAAAATTAAACCAGATTTTATGGCCTGTCAGATTTCTAGTATAAGCAAAATAGACAGTTTGACAATTTTGTTTTAAATCCCAGTACAGCTGTTCTCAGAGTCCTTCAGGCACCTAGGAATATAACTTCCTCAACAGTTGTTCCTGTTCCTCTTTTACTAATGGGTTTCTTTTCCTCGCCTCACTTTTTTTTTTTTTTCTCTCTCTCTCTCTCCTTTTTCTGAAGTAGCTATACTAATTTCTGCCTTCCAGTAAGGCATGAGTTGTACATTTACACGCTTCAGCTAAATAAATACGTAAATATAGACAAAGAAGCTTATGCAAAAAAGATAATACATGGATTCTGTCCTTGGCTACCCTTCAGATATTTCTAACATGATCTTCCTCTCATTTGTTATTTTATTTCAGATGTATATTCTATTCCATATATTCCTTAAGAATCTTAAGAACTTGTCATGTTGATTTACTTTGGGTATCTGGTATTTATTGGGTGTTTACTAAATTATATAAATTGTACTTACACAAGAGGTAAGGATTTCTTAGGGTGATATATTTTATTGGATGAACTGTGTAGTTGTGATAAAGTTAGACAGGCTTTTGAATGCAAGGCATTCTTCCTCAGGTCTCTGATTACAGGGAGCCAGGCAGCCAATAAAAGAACAACCCTAAGAAATCCTTGCCTCTCACAATTTCTGAACCTCACAACTACAATATCACTCTAACACTACCATAAGCTATACTTACTCATTTATAATGTTGCATATTTATTTCTCCAGCTGTTAATCACTGTCACAGTCATATTTTGTTCAGGTCTCCTTGCCAGTTAAACTCTTCTTGCAAACCTTTCTGTCAAGAAGACACTACACGTTTATCATTTAATACACTATGTACAGTAAGTTGTTATTTCATACACTAGTCTAATAATCATCCAGAAGGAATTCCATTCTTTTGCCTTGTTTGGTTTGCTTTCTGCAAAAGGAACTTTTGAAAATGTTTAAGAAGGAAAAACTAACTTGGGACAGAAACTCTCTTATTAGGATGTAAATTTGGGCTTAAAAGGTCATTCGCAGCAGTCATTTTTGCTTGAACAGATATTGGCAAGGTACATTTCAAACTGACGTCTCTGGAATGGTGCTTTTGTATTACTAAGCCTGAGAACTACTTGAGGAAAACTCTAATTCATGTTTGTAGAAAAATGTTTAAAGTACTTATGCCTCTTTCCTGTTTCTTAATCCACTCTTCCTCTTACGTTTTTTCTTTTGCTGTTGAGAAGATTTAATTTTCACTTCTTCATTTATGACTACTGTGAAAGGGGAGATCCCTCAGTGTATTAGGCTGCTTACAGGCTTGGGAGAAAAAAACCCAGGCACTTTAAGCTCACTGTGGCCCCTCACTAAGCACAGTGTATGCCCAGAAGAGGCATCGCATTAGTTTGACCCGGCTAGCCCAACATCTGTATAGATCCCGCACTTCAGTAGGACTTTTTGGTGCTTTTATCTAATAGTTGATTGAATCGGCTTTAGATAAAAGCCCTGTTGAAGTGCACAGTCTATACAGATGCTGGAGAGCTGCGTCAAACTAAAGCGCTTCCTCTTCCAGTAAAGTGCTGGGTTTTTGTTTTCCTGTCAGCAGCCTTAGGCTGTGAGGACATGGTGACACTGGTTGTTAGCACTAAATAGTTATTAGGCGGGGTGAAAGGCCTCAATCAGGAGTGGAGTTCTATTGTCCTAAGTGATAGATTCTTATCTATGCAAATACAGCAAGCAGTACAGTGTGCAGTTGTGGAGATGATAGTTTTGTTTTTATAATTTGTCAGTGCTGTAGATTGAACTGTGCTAGCAGCAATCATACTTATTTAAAAAAAAAAAATTAAGCTATCCATGACATTTGATGACCATGTTAAGAGAGAGAGTTTCCAGCATGGTTTGGGTAGTGCATCCGTTAGAACGAAATCCCTGTTCATGCTTGTCAGGTGAACTGTCTTAACCCTGTTCTTAAAAGATTTATCATTATGGTTCTTCCCACACTTATGAACTAGGTGGGGATCAGTATTTAGGGATCTGTGGAAAGATCTTGGAAAAGTTATTCTACCTGAAGGTGCGAAAACCCCGGAGGATGACACTTTGGAAGGATTTGTGGAGACTTTTGAGAAATTAATTTAACAAAATCATTAACAGCTTAACACAAGTTGTGTTCTATATGTAGACTTTGATTTTATTTTTCTTTGTAGCTTCAAGCAGTTTATTTCTAATACTTGCTTCAGCTTACTGATAACTTGTGATTTCCTGAAGATCATTCTGAATTTTGAATATCGTTCAAAACAGGATAAAGATTATGTGGGAATTCTACTTATTGGATCGTTTAGCCTTTTAATCTTGGTAAATCATAATATTTCTCTTTTAATTCTAGGATGATCCATTCAAAAATAAAGCCTTGTTGTTCAGTAATAACACGCAAGAATTGCGTACAGATCCATTCCAGTCAGAAGATCCTTTCAGATCTGATCCATTTAAAGGAGCTGACCCTTTCAAAGACAGTAAGTGCCTTGATGGCTAACACAAAAACTAGAACAGTCAGACAACTTTTTTTTCATTTTTACAACTTTGCTAATTTTCTTAACTAACTGACAAAATACAATATATTTCTTCTTTATCTAGGTGATCCATTTCATAATGATCCTTTTGCAGAACAACCACCTGCTTCAGCAGGTAAAAGTTTTTCAGTTGATGAAATTGATAGGATAGAATTTGTAACCAAATATGAAGGTGTAAAGGCAGCAGCTGGCTTTCTGTGGCTTCCCGTTTTACGTTTAAATTGGGAGGCCTGTAGAATTGTCTGTGGATGTTTTGTGCAGGGAAAGAGGGGACAAGTTGTTAAATAATGTATATGTAATTTTACTAAATGTAGTTTTGTAACTAATGTAAACACCACATATAGAAATAATTACAGTAAAATCTCTGTTATGCAGCATTTGAGTAACCAGAACACGCTATTAACTGGAATTTCCAGCTGGCTGGCCGGACACAGGCCGGGGGGGGTGGGAAGCTCACACACTGCTGCCAACCACACCATGCTGCTGCTGCTTCACATGTGGCTGCCTCGGGTAAAACTGCTGGCCTTGGGTAACCAGCATTTTAGATAACTGGCAACCCCCCATTCCCCACTCATGCTGGATAACAGGGATTTGACTAATTGGGATGGGAAGTAAACAATTACTTTTTTAGAGTAGAAATTAATACTTCATGAATCAACTAAAAATAGAAATATGGTATTATTCCCTGCAGCAAATTTTCTAGCATTTTTACTTGCCTAATTACATTTTCTTTACTTAATGGTCTTTTGGTAGATCCATTTGGAGAGGATCCATTTAAAGAAAGTGACCCATTTCGTAGTTCAGCCCCTGATGATTTTTTTAAGAAACAGGTGAAGAGTGATCCATTTACATCTGATCCATTCACAAAAAATCCCACAATGCTCTCGAAGGTAGGCATTTTTTTTAAGTGTGCGTATAATAAACTTTTTGTACTCTGAGGCTAATACGTTGTGTAAAAGACTTAACAAAAAGAAAAGTCCCACGCAGCATTCTCTTATTTCCTATATTAGGTGACAGGCACAGCTTCTCTCCTTATATTGAGTGTGTATTTATTTCCCAAGTGATCTCTTTAGTTCCTTTCTACTTACTTATAGGGCAGCATTTTCCAACTTTAGCGTCTTAGCATCACACACAGAATAAGTGGTCAGATTTTTAGAGTGCACAAAAGTACCTCCAGCTACCATTGACTTAAAGATGAATTGTGTGTACTTGCTACCACCGAAAATTAAGCTATTTTCATTTAAGAGCATAGGTGAATTGAGTGCCTAACATTGGACGCTCATGTTTGAACATTTGGACCATAGAAGCTTTAGGTTCTCTGTTTTTTTGCATTGGTGAATAGTATCAGCTTTAATTCACTGTGAGGTTCCCTGCTCTAGAATCTTGTATGCTCATTCAAATACTTGGCTTTGAGCGCAACCCATAAGTTTTCTTTTTTTTTTTCCTTCCGAGAACTGTGTGCACTAATAGCATGGCCTTATCCCATAAGACTATTTTTAAATACTTGGTCAATTCATCCTGCTGTAAATCTATTAAGAATAGCAGATTTACACAAGAGATTTATTTGTCCTAATTTGACAGTTTTTGAATGTAGGGAAATTTTTTATATATGTAGGAAGGTAAAGTACAGAATGCATTACAATGAAAAACATGCAACTTTTTCTTTTCTCCTCATATTTAGCCTGATCCTTTTGAAAGCAGTGATCCTTTTACATCTTCAGGTATCTCTTCAAAACGCCCAGGTAAGAGGGATGGGATTCTGCTTGTAAAAGGCAAAAATAACTTTTTATTGCCTTTTGGACACCCAGTTTTGGATGCAAAGAGTTCATTCCCAAGCCATTGTTGCCAAGTGGCAACAGGGACAGGGCCACCTGCAAGCTTTCCTGACAGCTCTCTGCTGTGCCCACTGAGGAACAGGGAGGGAGAGCAGAGCACTGTGAGATAGGAAGTGAGGTCTGAGACCTGGCTACTTGTTAAATTTGTCCCAGCAAGACAGGTTGCTGTCTGAAACAGCAACTTTGTCATGGATCCACCAGTTTTGCGGTGGGTGAGCTATTTTTACAGTGCAACAAGCAGTGTGACCATTCACCTCGCATTAATCACTAATATAGAAGTGGGACCAATGTAACGTCTGCCAGAGTCCTATAGCTGCCACCCTGTCCTGCCTTCTGCCAACTTCACATTGACATAGCCAGCCATCCCTATAGAGAGATTTGGGGGAGACAGCTGGTGCAGAGGGCATCTGTGTAGATGGCCCTGTCATTGTAGCCTCTCTGTTAGGATCCATAGATTCTGAAGAACAGTCTACCTCAGCAGGTGGGCAAACCACAAATTCCTCTCCACAGTGGCAGGTGAAGTCCATATTTTCTTCAGTATTCCCTTTTGTGGATGGGAAATGGGGATTAAAAATATGTCATTTGACCATGACTGATTCTCACGTGAAACAAATTTTTATGGTCCCTTGGCAGATTTTTTCAAGGTCTGGGAAGAGACTGCTGAAACAAACGCATTCTAACATTAAGAACCGCAGCGCTTGGAAAAGAATGTTTTGGATAGTTGGAATGTGGTGTGATCAGACTCAAATAATGGGCATATTCCAAATGAAAAGCATTAAAAAAAACCCTGTTCCTTATAAAGGAGATTCTAGGATGGAGTACACTTATTACTTACTGCTGAATTTTTACCCCAAGGAAGAATCAGTCATCCCTCAAGTTCACTGTGAAATCACAGTATCTATGGTGCCATTATAAAAGCCTATTATGAAATCATTCTGTAGGCATCAGCTTCCAAATTACAAGGTTTTGTTATGATTCGGATGGCACCATAATGAAAAAAACCAGGATTTCTGTGGACTTTGTTAAATAAAATTGTGCTGGGGTTGATAACCTTTTACGAATGGTAGACCACCACTTGCAACCCAGCCACTGCCAGCTGCCCATCCACTCTGTAGCACCCCAACTCTTCCTGCTGTGTCCTGAAGGCTGTTCTCTTGTGCCCAACTACTGCAGTCTCCACTTACCCTTGCCATCAGATGTCACAGATTCCCATAGTCAAAAGTGATGGGGAGCAAAGAATTTGATGGTGATGGTAAGTGGAGGCTGCAGTAGCAGGGTAAGAAAGCACTGTGGATTGGTTCAGCAGCCCATGGCAGAATAATACACAGCCCAGGGCAGAGAAGGTGCCCTCTTTCCCTCACTTCTCTCACAGGCCAAATTCAATCTCTTCATGGACTGGATCTGGGCCATGGAGCATAGGTTGACAAATCTGTTGCTGCTACTATCAAGGTCTTCATGTCGGTGTCCTTAATTCTTATGTCTTGTGTTACATTTGAGGGAAAAAAAATGTTATACTCATGATTTCACTATATATGTGTGTATGTATGTATGTATGTATGTATGTATGATTTTAAACAACATTTAAAAAAAAGTTAACTTTGTTCCTTACATGTTTCAGATCCTTTTGGAACATTAGACCCATTTGGAAGTGGTGCCTTTAATAGTAATGACAGTTTTGCAGATTTTAGCCAGATGTCAAAGGTAAATGTTCGGTGGAAATAAAGTTCCTTTAAAAATGTTGCTGGGTTTTTGGTTTTGTTTTCCCACGTCATTCTTGAAGAGTGCGATGATGTGAATAATATAGGGGATATCAAGTCTCAACATTATTTTTTATTGTAATTATGGATACAAACCCCTCTATAAGAGACCAATAAGATTATTTCCTTAGACACAGTAGGGTTTCAATAACCTCTATGTGTATCATAGAGGATAAATTTATTAACGAGTTTGTTTTGTTTTTGAAGGGATTTTTACAAATAAGCAAAGAAGTGAAAGAAGTAAAAACCTTTTTTCATGGGATTTTAAACTCGATTGTATTTAGCCAAAATGATCTTTCCTATCATTTTTGTCTTGTTTTCCTTTATTTTTTCCTCCACTAGGTGGCAGTAGCCTGTACAAATAGGATGTTTGAGTGAAGTTGGTGACTTCTCAGCAAGGCCTGATTGGGACCTTGAGGCTGCCAGTGCACTGCCTGCAAAACTGCCTGTTATTGTAGAATTAAACTTAATATGAAAATATGTTAAAAGTACCGCGTGTAAATTGATAAAGTCAAGATACAGCAATCAATCCTATCTATTTTGTAATGGTCAGGATGCTCCTCTGCAGGCAACAGTGGAGAACGTAGTTCAAAAATATCTTGTTTTCTTTTCTAGAAGCTTTAAAACAAGTAAAGAGATGTGAACTGCTGAGAATAGAAGGGGGACATGCTGTATACTTTAGGAATAGCCACATTTCCAAATGGTACATACTGTTTCACTGTGGTGTTTGATCATATAATGAAAAGTCCTGTTTTTTGGCTTTGCTTTGTGGCTTAGAAAAACAATAGCATGATGAATTGTATTAAGAGGAATGCCATCTACAAGTCAAGGGAAGTGATTCTTCAAGTGTGAGAGCTCACCAGTGCTAAACACCTGGTGACCAGTTTTGAGCATGGCATTGCAAGAAAGACCTTGACAAGTTGGAAAGAGCCCAATGGAGAGCAATCAAAATTTTAGAGGCTTAGGAAACATGGCTTACAAGAAAAGGGAAGAACTGAGATTATATGGCCTGCGGAAGAGAAAACTGAGGGGTGGGATTTGATAGTAGCCTTCAAATACATAAGGGATGGTTATACAGAGGATGGCATACTACCCTTTGTGACTGTGAGGGACAGGTCAACAAGTAATGGACTCAAATTGCAACAAGGGAAATTAGGTTGATTATTGAAAAGAACTTTCTTACTATAAGGGTAGTTAAGCACTGGAACGGATTACCTAGAGGAGTTGTGGAGTTTTTAAGAGCATATTAGATAAACGCTCACCTGACATGGTTTAGATAAGGATGATGCTGCCTGGAGCCCCTTGTTCCAGGCAACATCCATCATCTTTATCTAAACCATTAGATGATCTCCTGACATCCCTTCCAGCCCTGTTTTTTCTGTGCTTCCTTTGCCCTATGTGTACAAAATGGGACCAAATAAAAGTTCCTGTAGGGACCTTTGTGATAACTATTTCTGCCTTGGTTGTGAAAAGTTAAATGATTAATCATTTAACTGGTAAGTGCAGTGATAACCAGTTATTTTACCAGTTACCCTTTGGGTGCAGCCTGGGAATCATAGGATCATAGGAGTAGGGTCGGAAGGGACCTTGTAGATCTTCAAGTCCGACCCCCTGCCTGGGCGGGAGAAAAACTGGACTCAAATGCGTCCAGCCAGGTAGGCATCAAGCCTCTTCTTAAAGACCCCCAGGGTAGGAGCCAGCACCGCTTCTCTTGGAAGTTGGTTCCAGCTCCTAGCCACCCTAACTGTGAAGTAGTTCTTGCGGATGTCTAATCTAAACCTACTCTCCAATAATTTGTGTCCAGTTAAGGGGAAGCTGGGAAGAGGAGCTGTGTGGTGCCTCAACAGAAATCAGCAGGGCAGGGAGGAGGGAAGAGGGAGGAGGGGGTTTAGTACCCATAGTTAAAGAGGAAAACAGAGAGTAGCCTAATGACTCATCAATTAAGCAATTAGCTGCTCTTTCACAGGTGCTCCCTCTGGGCTGTGTTGTCTGGCTGGGCTTGCCGCCTTCTTCCCTCCAATCCCCCTCCAAAAGCCAGCCTCCCTCTCCCCCCGCCACTGGGATGGAATGGCACTCAGCAGCAGCTGTCTCCGAACTGCTGTGTTATCTGTTAATTGTTTACTGGTATAATTAGAGGTGGTTAAACATATATTTTTTTTAATGGTATTTGCATCCATATTTCTATCTTTTCCTGAAGTGGATAAAGTTACCTTCTAAAATACAAAGCTATCCCTGTTTCACAATGTAAGGCCCTGCAAGCGTTTACAGTTAACTCATACACATATTATTGAGGTTAACAAGGTGGACATAATCACAAATACGAAGTGACTATTTTTAGTTTTTCACAAGATCATGGCCTAAATCATATATTTAGTAATATGAAACAGTGAGGGGAAGATGAAACAGGACACTAAAATAAGATGGACACTAAGCAATACTTGGTGCTCACCATAATAGAGCATGGAGAGGTGTGGGTTTTCCTTAATGATTATTAAATACATGCATGTAAATATGAAATATCAGTGTGTAGAAAGCTGTGATGACTGTGACTCAAACCTTATGTTGTTTCAAAAGATATGTACACAAATAATGTATTTTACTACATGAAACACCTCAATTACTAGATTAATAATTGCTTTCAAAGTAAGTGCTTTTGAAAAAAGAAGTTAGACTCCTTTGTCCCTGAGTTGATTTTCCATATTTATCTATCCTGAGTTAATGTCTGTCTGAATGATCTTTATATATACTAAAAATAATAAGTCGCTTCTGCTATCTGATGTATACTTTCTTTTTCTCTCTCGTAAAGCCTGCAGCTTCAGACCCTTTCACCTCCTCTTTTGGAGGGATGGGATTCTCAGATGACCCTTTTAAAAGTAAGCCAGACACTCCCGCCCTACCACCGAAGAAAAATGTTCCTCCACGGCCCAAGCCACCTAGTGGTAAGTACATCTTCTCTTAGCACGGTGTTTCTCAACCTTGTTAGACTCATGGTATGTCTCAGTAGACTCAAGTGTCCAGGTTGTAGCTATATTGGTCTAGAGGAAAAAGCAATCGGGGCTCGTGAACAGAGGTGATACCTTTTATTAGACCAACAAGATGTTTGCAAAAAAACCCATTCTTTAATTGCAAGCTTTCAGGCACATTTTTTAAAATGAAATCTTCATATTTTCCCAAGCAAGAAGCAGCTTTGACCACCCGAAACCTGAGATCCTGCCTTTGTCTATGGTAATTTGCATCATCACAGTGTCACAGGATAGCTGAGACTCCTTACCAGCTAAGAACTGCTTCTCAGAGGGTTTTTCCATCTATTGATTCCTCTGTGAAATCCTATGAAATATGAACTTTCATTTCTACCCAAGAGAACCTTTACAATCTTTTTTTCTGATGCCTGATGAAGGGTGTTTGTGCCTGAAAGCTTGAAATTAATGTTTTTTTTTGCAAAAATTGTGGTCTAATAAAAAGGCATTGCCTCTGTCCACTTGTCCTGATTGCTCAATAGACTTAAGGCACTCCTCAAAAAATACCAACTCTTACTTTTTACTGCTTGTTTACTATGGAAAAATAAAAGAGCAATTCTTTTGTTGCACAGAACTCAAACCACAAGTCAAAAAAACTATGACTTCCTATTTGACATCTCTGAGTTTATCTTGTAAACCATTCTTGCATAGCTAATTGACAACATTGTGTGACACCCTGTGGCACCCTGGAAAGGATCTCCAGGCATCCCAGATTGAGAATCACTCTTTTTGCAGACACTTCCTATAGTTTTTTTTCTGCTTGTCAAGGTAACAGGAAGTCTACAGTTTTCTGTCTTGTAGATCTCTTATCAGCCCATGGTCTAGGAAGGTTAGCAGATGGTTCAGACATGTAGTACTTGCAGGGGGAGGGGAGGGAGGGATTATGGGGAGAGAGATTAGATTTTCAGTGGAAGGCAAGGAGCTTTTGTATAAATTTTAATTAGGGACTACTTCTAAGTACAATGGTTAATTTCTACTTCTGGTACATTATATTCTGAAACTGCCAAGTATGAATGAATCTGCTGTATAGTTTAATAATTTAAGATTTATTTTAGTTTGGAGTTCAGCTTCAGATCATTTTTCTTCATAATGCCTCATTCTCTTAAACCAGGGGTGGCCAACATGTGGCACAGGTACCACAAGTGGCACAAGCAGTCTGTGTATATGGCGTATGGGAAATTGGGAAGGGGACAGGCAACAGACTGACAAAAAAACAAAGAGCAGAAAACAGAGCATCAGATCAGGCAGGGAGCATAGGACAGGGAGCAGAAAGTAAAACTGCAGATCCAGTAAGGGGAAGGGATGAGAGTGGAGGGAGGGTGCAGGGCTAACCTGTGGCACATCTGCCAAGAAAGGTTGGCCTCCACTAAAGCCATCTAGAGTCTGGTGAAACTGTTAATAAACAGAAAGCATTTCATAGCTGTTAGTTTCAAGTCTGTTTTTGTCAGCCTGTGATATATTTTAGTAGATGTTAACAGTGAACTCTGACAGGGAACAGCTATATCATAGAAAAAACATGATCTTGCCACAAATATGCTCACAAATCTATTTGTATCAAAACTCTGGCACTGCGAGGTGTTTTGCTTTGTTTGTGACATACAAATTTAAAGGCCAGATATCCAGAATTTCTATGTATTTTTACCATTTCATAAATTTGTAGACAAAATCTATTATTATAACCTCCCTTTCAGCATGGATCTCACACTTTCCTTGTATTGCATCATGGGGCAGTGCTTGGTCTTGTCTGACACTGCAGTTCTCACACTGACCGCTCATAAAAGTAGTTGTTAATTTGGTTCACCCTGCAGGTGAACCATCACTCAAAATGAAAAACACCCTTATGGATGTTTTACCTCAAGAGCATTTTAAGTTAAAATTTCTATTATAGAAAATTGGGTACCCTGTCCCAGATTGACTCTGTGTTTTGGAAAATTGATTTAACAAAAAAAAACACTTAACACTTTTTAGACATCTTGGGCACTGACAGACGGGGAGGACGTACTTTACTGAAAGAGGCAGTGTGTTAGTTTGACCCAGCTCTGCAGCATCTGTATAGATCTCTTGCTTCAGTGGGGCTTTTCTGTCACTTTTATCTAGCAGCTGATTGAATCGGCTATTAGGTAAAAGTACCAGAAAAGCCCTGCTTAAGTGCCCGATCTATACAGACACTGGGCAAGCTGAGTTGAACTAACACGCTCTCTTGTGGGCATGCATTGGGCTTGATGGTGGGGTGTGCAAAGTTTAAAGTAAAGTGATATGGGGCGGGGGGGGGGGGGTGGGG